TCACTCCCCTGCCGGCCATTTACGATATAAACTCATGGGTAAACGCACACATAAACACGCACGCACTTGTATTTAGTGCACATAGTTTATACGCACACACGAACACACACATATACGCATTAACCAATTTTCTGGGTACATACACTCATGCGAAAAGCTGTGTGTATATGTGTATACGTGCATGTGCACACGAAAGCGAACGGCCGAATACACACATATACGCACATAAGGAACGTCTAAATACATGGCGATACACACACAGACATTTTTGTTTTTATTTATTTATTTTTCATTTATTATTATTACTGTCTTTATTATCGTCGCACCGAAAACGATAATAATTGTTATTATGATTAATAATTATATATCACTATTGTTATTGTTGTTGTTTTTTTACCATAGCCAAATGTTATTATTCTTATTAGTATAATTTATATCACTATTATTATTATTATCATTATTGTTGTTGTTGCTTTTGTTCCTGTTCTTGTTGCTATTTTTATCATTTTTTTATTTTATTTTATTGTTTATACGATCATAATGATGTTCATCGCTGTTTTTATTATTATCTTTATCAATGTGACTTTTATTGTTGTTGTTATTATTATTACTATTAGTAGTAGTAGTAGTTGTTGTTGTTTTCGTCATTTTTGTCATGTGTCTCCTTTTTTTGTATTTTTTATACTTTGTTTCGTCTTTTTTGTCCTGTTTCCTTTTATCTTTTCTCTGTTCTTTCTCTCTCTCTCCCTCTCTCTCTCTCTCTCTCTCTCTTCCCATGTTAACCTTTCTGTTCCTTTTATTTTTTACTCGTCTCTATCTCCTCTTTCTCTGCTATCTATTTCTACCATTTTCTTCTATCTTGTCCTCTCTTTCTCACTTTTCACTGTTCTCTTTCTACATTTTCCTCTTCCTTCTCCTTATTTCATATTTCTTATTTTATGTCTTCCTCTTTTTCCCCTCCTCACTTTTCTCTTTTTCCTTCTTTATCCATTAATCCTCTCGTCTTTCCCCTATTTACCCCTCTCTTTCCCCCTTCTTTATCCATTTATCTCACATCTTCCTCTCGCTCTCCATTCCTCTTTCTCCCCCTCGTCATCTTTCTTCTTTTCCCCTCTTCGCCTTTCCTTTTCTCCCATCCGTTTATCTCTCTCGCTCTCCTCTCGTTTCCTTGCGTTCTCCCTTCTTCACCTCTCCCCTCTTCGTATTCCCTTCCTCCTCTCCATCTCCCATCTTTATCCATTTATCTCACATCTTCCTCTCGCTCTCCATTCCTTTTTCCCCTCCTCGTCATGTCTCTTCTTTTCCTTTCTTTGGCTTTCCCTTTCTCCATTCTTTATCTTTGTCATTATCGATCCATCTCGTCCTCTCGTTCTCTCGCGTCCCCCCTTCTTTCCCCTCTCCCCTCTTCGCATTCCCTTCCTCCTCTCCATCCCCCTTCTTTATCCATTTATCTCACACCTCCCTCTCGCTCTCCTCTCGTTCTCTCGCGTCCCCCCTTCTTTCCCCTCTCCCCTCTTCGCATTCCCATTTCTTCCTCTCCCCTCTTCGCATTCCCTTTCCCCTCTCCTCTCTTCCCGTTCCCCCCTTCTCCCCCTCTCCCCTCTACGCATTCTCTTTCTCCATCTCCATCTCCCATCTTTATCCACTTGTCTCCTTCTCGCTCTCCTCTCGTTTCCTTGCGTTCTCCCTTCTTCACCTCTCCCCTCTTCGTATTCCCTTCCTCCTCTCCATCTCCCATCTTTATCCATTTACCTCATATCTTCCTCTCGCTCTCCATTCCTCTTTCCCCTCCTCGTCATGTCTCTTCTTTTCCTTTCTTTGGCTTTCCCTTTCTCCATTCTTTATCTTTGTCATTATCCATCCATCTCGTCCTCTCGTTCTCTCGCGTTCTCCTTTCATCACCTCTCCCCTCTTCGCATTCCCTTCCTCCTCTCCATCCCCCTTCTTTATCCATTTATCTCACACCTCCCTCTCGCTCTCCTCTCGTTCTCTCGCGTCCCCCCTTCTTTCCCCTCTCCCCTCTTCGCATTCCCATTTCTTCCCTCTCCCCTCTTCGCATTCCCTTTCCCCTCTCCTCTCTTCCCGTTCCCCCCTTCTCCCCCTCTCCCCTCTACGCATTCTCTTTCTTCATCTCTATCTCCCATCTTTATCCACTTGTCTCCTTCTCGCTCTCCTCTCGTTCTCTCGCGATCTCCCTTCCTTACCTCTCCCCTCTTCCCATTCTCTTTCCCCTCTCCCCTCTTCGCATTCTCTTTCTCCATCTCCATCTCCCATCTTTATCCGGTTATCTCACACCTCCCTCTCGCTCTCCTCTCTTCACCTCTCCCCTCTTCGCATTCTCTTCCTCCATCTCCCATCTTTATCCACTTACCTCACACCTCTCTCTCTTTCTCTCGCGATCTCCCTTCTTCCCCTCTCCCCCTCTACGCATTCTCTTCCTCCATCTCCCATCTCCCATCTTTATCCGTTTATCTCACCCTTCCCTCTCGCTCTCCCGCAG